TCTTACTCTCTCTCTCTCTCTCTCTCTCTCTCTCTCTCTCTCTCTCTCCAGTATTCCAAGGTTATGTTGTTGACAGATGTCCAACCTTACGATATAATTTTTTACATCAGACAATTGTAACCATAGCTTGCTAGTGGCGCCGTCTTTTGTCAAACGGCGTAAACTTATTTGTACACTTAATATTTTATATGTAATTATATAAAATTATATATTATAAAAATATATAAAATTTAATATATAATTGTATATAAATGAACATATTTTAGACATAATTGTATATAATTATTGTAGGATATAAGATTGATCCAAGTGATGGAAATATTCGGTGAGCCAGTATTGCTGGCCGATAATTCAGAAGAGATTCGCTGTTTTCACTTCAACGCTTCGTCGTGTCACACACGTGCCTCGCCATTGTACGACTGCCTCTTTTTTGTTCTCACCTTCTTCTACCTTTTCGCTCTTGCGCAAGCGCACTGATAGTCTAGTGCATATCGTCATAGTCGGAAACGCACGAACTAACTAAGAATTCGTAAACACAACATATACTCTTCCTACACTCGGCCATTCTGCACAATCGTGCGTCCCGCACGACGCCAGCTGTTAGCTTAACATTACATTTCGCAAAATAATATTGTCGACTTATAATTAACGTCTTATAAGCAAAATTGATTATCTTAACTTAATCTCACGTCTTACAAAAATAATATCATTGACTTATAATTAACGTCTTACAAAAATAATATCATTGGTTTATAATCAACGTTCTAATAAAAATAATATCGTCGACTTATGACTAACATCTTACAAACAAAATTATTTCCCTTCACCTAACATTACGTCTTACAGAATAATATTGCCGACTCATAATTAATATCTTACAAAACAATATCGCCGACTTATAATCAACGTCTTACAAAAATAATCGACTTATAACTGACATCTTACAAACAAAATTGATTACTTTAACTCAACATTACGTTTTACAAAAATAGAATTAGTTACTTTTAATTAACTGTATTCCAGGGTTTAACGTATTCAGCGCAAGTAGAAGTGCTTACAGGTCCTTCGTGGGAACCGTTTTTAATCACATCGTATGTGTCGTTAGGCTTAACCTTCTCAATTAGATATGGTCCTAAATATTTCGTAATTTTCGGCCTGAACCTAATTGTGTTCGCTTGATCGCTACTACGTCTCCTACCTGGTTCTGTAACCGTACGTCTGAGATTATATGTCTTACAATTCTCCGATTGCAGAATTTGTTCTTTCGCTCTAGCTTTAATTTCGTTACACTCTTCCTCAAATTTCGATCGAAATTCTTGTTCTATTACTTCGCGTAGTTTCAGATCAGTTTCGTCGCGCATTTTTACGCCGAATAGTAAAACAAAAGGCGCATTTACACTACGATTGAACGTGGAGTTTAATATACGTTGCAATTTATCTACATATTTATTACCATTTAGCAGGTTCTTCGATTGATAATTTGGAAAGTATCGATATGATCGCCCTATTCAAACGTTCCACTTGTCCGTTTGCTCTTGGCAATCCGGTGGATTGTCACGTGTTCAATTCCTTCACTCTGACAATAACTCCTTGAACTCTTGAGAGGTGAAAGCTGTGCCTCGATCCGTTACGATTTGTTTCGGACTCCCGTATATTTGTTTTTGAACGTCTAACCGACTTGTGACCTTGCGAGCTGTGGTAGATTTAGTCGGGTACAACCATACAAATTTAGTATCAATAGTAAATATTAATAGTAAAACTATCAATAATAGTGAGAATATGATTGTAGTTTTTATTAGTAGTATCTAATGGCCCTAAATGATTTGCATGGTATGTGTGTAACAGCACATCAGGCTTGGGAATGGGATGCAGATATCCTTCTTGCCTACCTTCTTTGCGATTCGTCAATACACACTGCACGCAACTGGCAATGTGTCGTCTACTTTACTTCTTAAATCGCGTATGAAGTATTCCTGCCGAATACGCTCTTCGGTTTCGTTACGTTTCGCCGCCATATGCCCTTTCTCGTGAATCGTTCGAATTACGTCCAATTCTAGCGTTCTGGGGATAACAAGTAAATCTCTACCGTCTTGAAATTTATATAATAAATCGCCGCTTATGTGGTAATTCTTATATGTTTTGTCTTTGTCAATTTCTTTTATCGCTTGAATCTCTTCATCGTTTGCTTGTTGACTTCTAATTTGTGGTATAATCGGACTTTTCGCTATCGTCATAACCGGATGTCGATTCAAAGCCTCGACATGTTTCATACGGGTTCCCGATCTGTGCTCGATGATGATCATAATCCTCTAACACTAAAGCCCATCTCGCAATACGTGTACTTAATTCTTTTTTGCCCATGGTGCGCTGAAAAGCCGCACAATCAGTAATTATTTTGAATTGAATGCCTAACAGATACACTTGGAATTTTCTAAGTGCCTCTACTATCGCAAGAGGTTCCAATTCATAACTCGTATAATTCCTTTCCTCCTTTTTTGTCTTTTTGCTCATAAAATATACTGGGTGTAAAAAATTGTCTTCGTCTGAACGCTATAGGAGTACAGCTCCATAACCGTCTATACTTGCATCCGTATGTACTTCCGTTTCGTGTCACGAATGATATATTTTCAGTACTGGATTCTGAGTTAAAATCGTCTTCAATTGTATGAACGCGTTTCGAGCCTTATCGTCAAAATTATGCAATTGATTGATCTTTCCGCAACATGTCGCTCAACGGTTTTGCGATCGTAGAATATGAAGGTATAAACTTTCTGAAGTAACCCGAAAGCTTTGAATATCTTTTAATTCTCTGGGCTCTGGGTAATCTATCATGGCTTTGACTTTCTCTTGGGAAGGGTAAATTTTGCCCCCTTCTACTACATGTCCTAGGAACTCGATTGTTCTTTTCACGAATTGACATTTCTTAAAATTAATTTGTAAACCGTAGTCGCTA